ACCTCGCCGGACTCGCCGCACCTCCCCATCTTCTTGGCGGAACCGTCGCACCTCCCTCACCTCTTGCCGTAACCCGTCGCACCCCCCCACCGCTCCCCTCGAAAATATCTCCTCTCCTTAAAAATCTTCCACCACCCACGCAAAACCCTAGAAACCATCCTCCCTCCACCACTAGGGTTTCGAGGGTGGTGGGAGGATCGACCGACAATTTTAAGTGGAGGGAGGGTGGTTTCTAGGGTTTTGCGTGGGCGGTGGAAGATTTTCTGAGGAGGGGAGGGGCGGCGAGGGGTGGGGGAGGTGCGCCGAGGGCCTACGAGCTTCGTGGAGGTGTTGGCTGGGCGATGGGGTGGCTGTGTGGTGGCTGGAAAAGTGGAAAAGTGAAGAAAGAGGGGGTTGTGTGGTGGTGGTGGTGATTCTCTTTGTTTTTTGAAAACAAACAACATACTACATGTAAAGGGTTTCATTCCATTCTTTTACATTCCCTTTGTTCATTTCATTCCGATCCCCCTACGCTAAACGACCCCTTAGCTTAAAAACTTTCCTCTATTAACTGGTGAACAAGTTAAGAAAAGTTTTATTGAGAGAATTCATAGCATCACTTAGTACTGTAATTTCTATATTTTCTTACAAAATTATGATAGTGAAAATAATAGAAACAATAGGTATATGCGAAGTTAAAAAAAAAAAAAAAAACCCCTTAAAATAGTAAAATCATGGTCCTCCGTCTTTGAATGCCTTTTTTTTTTAAATGCATCTCTTGAGTTTTCTCACTTGTTGATGCACAACTTTGACTATTAATATTTTTTATTAGATATAAAAATTATGTTATGATTGTAGACATTATAACAAATCTAACCATATATTACATGACCATGTTTATAAATTTTATAGTAGTAAAAGAATTTAATCAAAGGTGACATATAAATAGTACAAAATCTTAAGTGATGCATTTAAAAAAAATAGAGGAAGTAAGTGTAACACTTACCAAATGCGCCCATATTTTAATAAGTATTACACTTCCATTTTTGGCAAAAAGGTACATTTAAATATTATTTATAAGTATATCTTTCTCTTTTTATGGTCCTTACCTAAACCCACTACTATTTTTTTTTTTTAACTATTTCTTTCTTCTTCATTACTTTTTAATAAAATATTAACCCCAACTGTCTTTCTTTTACAATTTGGAAGGAATAAAGTAATTGTAAAAGTAATTATTATAAATTTATAAGTCTAAGTTAAGGGTATTTTTAATTTATTTCTTTAGATTATTGTAATTTTTAATGTTTTTGTAATTCCTCCAATCCTATTGGTCTTATGCAATATTTATTATAAAGTCGGTTGTTTTAAAATGGAAAATTTGTCAGAAAAAAACCTTTTAAATGCCTCATTTTGCAAGAAAAAAACCTTTTAAACGATTCTTTGTTAAAAAAACCACCACGATCACTTTTTTTGTCCAATGAAATCTGACCTCTCTTTTCCGGCATTGACCATCACTTTCAGGCGTTGACCCTATACATTTCCTACTTGCAGCCACTTATTTTTATAATTGCACTCCCCCTCTTTTTTTCCCTCTAATTAATTTCCTCTGTATTCTCTCTCCCGTCTCCATGAATGCTCTGCTACACTGTCAAATCAAATTGGGCTTCTCTCTCTCTCTCTCAGCTCGCCATTAATACTACAACCATAAATTGAGGAAAGTGTAAAATCATCAGTTCGATACTTGAAATGGTCGGCAGCATCCCTCACCCCACAATACCACCGTTTCTCCACTCACACCCACCGAACCAAACCCTCCTGCCATCAACGCCCAAAGCGCAACCCACACCTCAATTCACCACCCAACACTCTCCATGCCACCACCTTCATTATCCCCACAACAGAAGCCGCAATTGACACCGCAGCCCACCATTCACACCTCTCCTAGCACCGACCCACCACCAGCCGCCGCACACAGCAGCAACACTGCCTAGCAGCACCACCAATCGAATTCGGCAGCCCCACAAATCGTAGCAACAAGCACCAAATCAGCCCCAAATCGATGACCCATTAGAGTCGGCGCTCTTCATTACGACGCGGGCGCTCCTCAATCCAATTTCATCAATTTTGGGCAGAAGCAAGGAGCGTCCCCTCTAATGGGTATGAGCGGCCGCTCCGTTTTATCGGGTCCAATTGCACGGAATTAAAAGAAATTGGACGGAGATGATGGTGTTTGAATTGGTGATTATGGCCATTGACGATGATGATGCGTGGATGATGATGAAATCAGAGCAACAAAGTGAATGAAGAAGAGGGGGGAATTCGTGGGTCTGATTGTTTGGGAATTAGTGGGTTTTTGTTTTATTTCCCTTTATTTTCTATTCTCTTTTTGTTTTTTTTATTTGCTGTAGGCTGCAAGTAGGAAATGTAATGGGTCAATGCCTGAAAGTGAGAGTTAATGCCGGAAAAGAGAGGCCAGGTTTCATTGGACAAAAAAAGTGATCGTGATGGTTTTTTTTAACAAAGAATCGTTTAAAAGGTTTTTCCTTGTAAAATGAGGAATTTAAAAGGTTTTATATGACAAATTTTCCTTTTAAAATTTTTGCACATTATGATATGTTTTTTTTTTTTTCCTGATTAGATAAAGGTTCTACACGGTAGAGGTGATCAAAGGGCCAGGCCAGGACAATCTTCAAGTCGAAAATGCTTGTCCAGATCCACAAAATTGGACCGGACAAAAAAAAAAAAAAAAAAAAAAAAAAAAAAACTAAAATTGTAAAAAAAATGCATGTCCAAACCCGCCCTAAAAAAATAAAACAAATTCGGGGCGACGGGCCAGGCTACCCATGATCAGGTCCATTACAAAGCCGAGACCAAACTTAGGGGCCGTTTGGTTGGGGTTAATAATCAAAGGGAATGGGAATGAACTGATATCATTCCCTTTGTTGTTGTTTGTTTGTCACTTTTTTCATTCCCTTTACCTATTTTTATTTTTGAGTTTACCCAAAATTAGTCTACATTGATTCCCCACCCCCCGGACTTTTCCATTCCCTTTCTTTAGCCACCATACACACCATCATTCTAGTCGCCGAAACTTGCCCGACCACCTCGCCGAACTCGCCGCACCTCCCCATCTTCTTGGCGGAACTGTCGCACCTCCCTCACCTCTTGCCGGAACCCGTCGCACCTCCCCCACCGCTCCCCTCGAAAATATCTCCTTTCCACAAAAACCTTCCACCACCCACGCAAAACCCTAGAAACCACCCTCCCTCCACTTAAAATTGTCAGCCGATCCTCCCACCACCCTCGAAACCCTAGCGGCAAGGGTTTCGAGGGTGGTGGGAGGATCGGCCGACAATTTTAAGTGGAGGGAGGGTGGTTTCTAGGGTTTTGTGTGGGTGGTGGAAGATTTTTTGAGGAGGGGAGGGGCGGCGAGGGGTGGGGAAGGTGCGCCAAGGGCCGATGAGCTTCGTGGAGGTGTTGGTTGGGCGATGGGGTGGCTGCGTGGTGGCTGGAAAAGTGGAAAAGTGAAGAAAGAGGGGGTTGTGTGGCGGTGGTGGTGATTCTCTTTGTTTTTTGAAAACAAACGACATACTACATGTAAAGGATTTCATTTCATTCTTTTACATTCCCTTTGTTCATTCCATTCTGATTCCCCTACGTCAAACGACCCCTTAGCTTAATAACTTTCCTCTGTTAATTGGTGAACGAGTTAAGAAGAGTTTTATTGAGAGAATTCATAGCATCACTTAGTACTGTAATTTCTATATTTTTCTTACAAAATTATGATAGTAAAAATAATAGAAACAATAGGTATATGTGAAAAAAAAACCCCTTAAAATAGTAAAATCATAGTCCCTGCGTCTTTTAATACTTTTTTTTTTAAATGCATCACTTGAGTTTTCTCACTTATTGATGCACAACTTTGACTATTAATACTTTTTATTAGATATTTGTAAAAATTATAACAAATCTAACCATATATTACATGACCATGTTTATAAATTTTATAGTAGTAAAAGAATTTAATCAAAGGTAACATATAAATAGTACAAAATCTTAAGTGATGCATTTAAAAAAAATAGAGGAAGTAAGTGTAACACTTACCAAATGCGCCCATATTTTAATAAGTATCACACTTCCATTTTTGGCAATAAGGTGCATTTAAATATTATTTATAAGTATATCTTTCTCTTTTTATGGTCCCTATCTAAACCCACTACTAATTTTTTTTATTATTATTTTTTTAACTATTTCTTTCTTCTTCATTATTTTTCAATAAAATATTAACCCAATTGCCTTTCTTGTACAATATTTTAATACTCAACTACCCCACTTATCCCTTATTTTATTTAAGTCAATTAAATTGCCAAGAACTATGTGCCGCTCAAACTATAACACTTATTAAAACACGGAGAGAGTAAGTATTTTATTTAAAGTTACAATAAAATTTAAAAATAAAAAAATAAAATAAAATTTATCCAAGACAAGATTGATAATAAAATTTTAAAAATATCCTATATTAAAGTCACAATATAAACCTAAAGTCTACATATTGTATTATGAAAATTGCACTATGTGTCTAAATTTTCATTCTCTTACAACAAGAACTGATAAGACTGTTTTTTTTTTAAAAAAAAAAAAAAAAAAAAAAATCTCAAAATGACAAAGTATGTTAAATCAAGTAAGAGTAAAATTTAGCTTGATAATTACTCTATAATTCTAAAGAAAAAACCCTAGCCTCCACTTCCTCTCTTCTCTCTCCTAAACTCTAGCCTTCATTGTCATATCGAATTTCACCGGTGAAAAGCCCCTTTGTTTTGTTTCATTTACGTTTTTCTGTTTTCTAGGTTATAATAATATCTCCCTCGAAAGAAAGGAATTATCTCCTTTGAAAAACAAGGTTTTTTTTTTTTTTTTCTCATTTGAAAGACAAGATTTTTCGAGCTCCTTCGAAAGACAAGATTTTATTTACACTTAATTTAGTCTCCAATTGTGCGGGGCTACGATTGATTATTACTCGGTTTCGGCACAAGAATTTTCTTTCTCACAAGTTTATGAAGTGGCAACGGATTCAGTCAAAAAAGTTGTATAAGACAACGATACGACTAAAAGGGGTAAAATACTAACATTTGCAACTGCATAATAGATGTTCCGATATGAAGGCAAGGTTAATTACATTGTCTTCATTAATTAAGCCACAGGGCTAGATAATATTCTTCTACAGAATTAATTCCATGATACGGCTTCAGCTGGAGGGGGAGTTGTAGATGTAAGCAATATCCTTCAACCGTACATGCATTTAGAAGGTCGAACCATTCCAGCCAAAAAAGGAACCCTGCAAAAGTTAGGAAAAAAAAAGTACATTCAATCAATATGCGAGATGATGATATACGAAGTATTAGTTAGTGAAGTACGGTAGTACTTCAGACAGCAAATTCTTTGCTCACCTGCCCCTTAACCATGGAACGTGAAATTTTTGGGAAATAGCAATATGAAAAATTGGAGGAAAAAAATAAGGGAAATGTGAGCTTAGAGCTCTTAAGATAACTTTAGATGGTGAAATGTTTACATGTTCTATTGGCTAGCACTGGTGTAAAGCATGCAAACACTGTGCATGTTCTTGAATTGGATGGTCCTAAACAGCAGGAACAATGCAGTAATAAGATATGAGTGCATGATGGTCAGTCCACTAAGATGAACACGACAATTAAGACAACTTGCCTTAGTGTCGTAGAATTTGAGGAAGAAACGGTCCTTGGGAACAGACAACTTGGTCTCGAGGATTGAGGCAATGGCAGCACTCAATTTCTTGTTGGTGTCGGGATTAAGGCCACCAATAGAGACAAGTTCACCATATGCTGCAGGCTGCTCAGTTCCACCAAATGCCATTGGCACTGATCCTTTAAGCACCACCATAACATACTGCAATGTTTCACACCAGGTAGTTGGCAATGTTATATTCAATGACATATAACTTGAAAGAATATAAAGCACAGAAATCCACAAGGTCAATTCAGGCAAATCAGCACCCATAAATCCCGTAATCGTTTCAGGTAAAGAGATATTCAGAATTGAATTCAGGATGGAAAGTCCCACACATCAGCTAATCGAATGGTCACAATTAGAAATTTCAAGTCCAAATATAGGCAGGAGCATCATTTTTATTTCAGTATATGACCACGATATTGTTAATGTCAGAGAGACTTACATGTGCTTCCACAGATAGCCTTACAAATGATAATTCTGCCTGTATATTTGTATATTTGTAGACATATGGGTAGAAATGCAGAGTAAGGGCAGAGTACTTAGAGAACAAATCTGCTTCGACTGCTTGTATATTTGTAGAATCATAGGTAGAAATAGGAGATATGTCGCTTTATATTATGAGCTATCCTTGGCAATGAAATGTAAACATCTAAGGAAACTATTCTAAAACTACCTATAGCTTTAGGGGGTCAGGACGTCAGGTTCAAACTGTGAGATGTATTTCTTGAATTTAGCCTATAAGGCCAGAAAATAAGTTGAAATAAGCCCATCATATCAAACCTATTAGGCAAACCAGCTATGTTGACTCCCCAAGAGTCACAAAGCATCAAGAAACCAGAGGAAAATAAATCAACCTGAAATTCACTTCTTTATACTATCCAATGGAATTTCCTTATCAGAATAAGAACAAGGATGGAATAGGGTATAGAAGAGAATATTTTCATATTGACGAATTCCTTAAATGTTTACATGGCAAGGAAACAAAAAAAAGTTCTCAAAGAAAGAGTGCTTCCATCATCCTTCTTCATTGTTGCCAACTAATACACATGAATGACTTGCGTAATGCAACAATTGACTACATCGGTTGCTCTTATTGAGCATAAGGAGTAACAGAACTTCGACACATAATAACAAAGAGCACAAGGAGCGATGACACAACATAAAATCAACCAAAGCCTTAATCCCAAAGATCAAGATATATCTCCTACACTTGCCAACCATGATCCTCTCCTTCCCTTCCCTTCTATCCAATGTTATATGCAGCTGCAAACCCAACTTCTTCAAGTCCTTTACTCCTTCCATCTAAGTCAATCTTTGGTCTTCCCCTGCCTCTTCTAAGATCT